GAGAGAGGCAGAGGGAGAGAGAGGAAGAGAGAAATGGAGAGAGACAGAGAGAGAGAAAAGGTATTAGAAACACTTCCAAAAATAAGAAAGCCTGTTCATTCTTTGATTATATAGTGTGGCTATTTATCCACTCCATCCTTTAGACTGTCTACTGTTGACCTCACCCCATTCCTAAGAGGTCTGTAAAGGGACATGCATAAGTGCACCAATGTGCCTACCGTTCCTGTCCTAATGTCCCCTTTTATTCGCACCCATTTCATGTACTCATAATCATGTTTATACTTATACCTGTTATCTAATACTTGCTTGACGAATAAATAAATAAACAAACTATGATCTGGATAACGGAGAATCTCCACAGGCTTCGGACAGCTGGCTCTTCTCTTTCCCCTCTCAATCCCACCCCCAGCACTCACTTATTCTGCTCCATCAGGACCTGCAGGGTATCTGGGTTCTTGAGCACCACCTCGGCATCCAGGCTGAAGTAATATTCGCAGGCGGGGTTCTGCTTGCACAGGTTCCTAGAAGGGCAGGAAGCCAACGAGTCAGGCCCTTCGCCAAAGGGGACAAGAACCGCGTGTCAGGAGTCCAGCCGTTACCCCCCATTTAAATCACGAATCTCGAGCCAAACTTCCAAAACTTCCAAAGGATTTATTGGGAGTTAACATGTCCGGCACTACCTGGGTGCAGCCGACTCTGAGACACATCATTCATGGTCACCCTTGACCCTGGTTTCCCCCCCTCCTGCATCCCCTGAGTGTATCCTAATTCATATCCTCCAATGGGACACGTCCATAGCCCAGAGTCATCAATCATGCTCTCCAGTTAGAATTTTGCCAGCAGAAACTTCAGTCACCTAGTTACTATCTTTGAAAAACTATTTATGGAATGCACTTTCGATTTCCAAGCTGCCGCACTGCTCTTTCAAACCCCTTTCTCCCCCCCGCCTCCTTTCTGTTGGCAACTCTAAAAAGACCAGAGAAATATTTTATGAGTTGACGCCGCATTTGGGGAACCTCTCCGCGTTCCTTACATGCACAGGCGGCGAGCCTCGGCGTTCTCCAGGTGATCCTCCGGCCCCATCACTTTCAGGGAGCGATATTCCTGGCCGTGCTTCTCCACAAAGGAGCTCACCTGAGGCAGGTGATGTTCCTCCTGCACCAGGAGAAGAAGCGAGAGAGGTTACCGAGGGGCCGGTCCTTCCGGCAAAGCCGCCTCATTCACGGTCATGGATCTGCCACCGGAGGCCCCTCTGGGTGTGAGTTTGGAGGGGTCTGCGGAGGAAAGCGCGGAGGGTGGAAATCAGAACGGGGGGCTTGGACGGTGGTAGCCCCATGAAGAAGCCTCCGCTGGGTTGATGGGAGGCTGAATGGAGGGAGGGAGTTGGCCCAGAGGCGCCATGTCATGCAGGGGTGGGCGGCTGGGGGGTTTGCAGGGGTTCGGGAGAGCCCCAAGCTAAGATTCGGTGCAGTTCAGACAACCCCCGAATCCCACTCCTTGCTGGCTCCGCCCACCCCTCCCCTCCCAGGAGTCCCCACATGGCCCATTTGGGATGAAAGGAAGTGCAGGGCGAAAAAAACGGGCCTCCCGGAAGTTCAAGAAGGCCGGAAATGGGCCCGTTTCCGGCTTCCAGAGAGCCTCCGGAGCCCGGGGAGCCCGTTTTCACCCTCCCCAGAGGCCTCCGGAGCCTGGAGAGCAGGAGGCTGACTAGGCCACACCCACCATGGCCACGCCCACCCAGCCACCGGGCAGAGAACCCCTTTCTAAAAGTGTCGGAGCCTGACTCTGTAGAGAAAGACGACCAACGGAGATCGAGGAGGTGGCGGCTTCGGAGGAAAATGGGGAGGAGTAGAGGCCCAATCAGGCCGGGGCCTTTCAGGATTGGGACGGCTTGTAGGCAGGGAGGAAGGGGGGCAGGATGACCAGGAGAGGCTAAGCAGGGACCCTGAGAGACAGATCTCGGGCGATGAGCAAGGACCGTTCCCCTCCTGATCCGAGAGTACGGAGAGCGGAGAGAAGGCGAGAACAGCGCAGGCTGAGCCAACTACTCAGGAGGAGAACGCCGCCCCCGCCCCTCTGCACAAGGCACACCTGGGGACTAGGCAACTTCTCAGCCAGATATCTTGACTCACGTGATTGTGGATGAACAGGTGGATTTTCTTTTTCGGATAGCGGAGAAGCTGGAGCCTTTTGAAGAACTGGTCGAGGAAAGGGGTGGGCTGCTCAATGAAGATGCCGACCACGGTCAGAGGAAGCGAGTCTTCCTGTGAGGTGGGGGAGGGCAGAGGGAGGGTGGGAAAAAGTGAAGAACAGGCTCAAAAATTCACAGAGTTGCTCTGGATTCGATTCTATCGGGTGAGTTGAAGATAGTCACTTTATAGCAAGGGGTGTCAACCTGGATTTCTTGAAGGGCCGGAATCAGCATTGTAGTTCTCCTCTGTAGGCCGGCCGCCGGGGTGGGGGAGATGGGACAGACGTGTGTGTGCCCCCACCCTGTGCCCTGTTTTGGCCAGCAGAGTGTTGCAGGAGGCCGCTGTTTTGGTTGCCAGAGGTACTGTGGACTGGGTTCTTTGCTATTTCCAGGCCGGCCTCACGGGTCTGATTTGAGCACCCTGTAGGCTGGATGTGGCCCGCGGGCCTTGAGTTTGACACCCCTGCTTTATAGCAACTGTACTTCACAGCCCTCTCTAAGGAGTTCAGAGTCAGCCATGTTGTCCCCAACAATCTGGGTCCTCGTTTTACCGACTTCGGAAGGATGGAAGGCTGAGTCGACCTTGAGCTGGCCAGGATCGAACTGCTGGCAGTGGGCAGAGTTAGCCTGCAATACTTTATTCTACCCATTGGGAAGGAAGGAAGGTGGGAGGGAGGGAGGGAGGGAGGGAGGGAAGGAAGGAAGGAAGGAAGGAAAGGAAAGGAAAGGAAAGGAAAGGAAAGGAAAGGAAAGGAAAGGAAAGGAAAGGAAAGGAAAGGAAAGGATGAGAGGAGAATGG